GTATTTTATATAAAATAAGGACTTACTTATCAATTAGGAATTTGTAAAAAAAGCACATGCTCAATTTGAACAGTTCAAATAGAAATACAAATTTCATACATATATATGTACATGCGAATGCAAGAGAAGTGGTGCAGTCTGCTCTGTCTGCTTCATGGCATTGATACATTCTGCATATTTTACACATATACTTTACATTAACCATGAAGCTAGGTTGCAAAGTTGACTACCTCAAATTTGATGTACTCATTTACTCATATAGCTGGTAAAAATACTTTGAAGGGTATGCTAAATGTCGGCATGGAGATCAAGATCAGGTCTTGTGTCAAAAGGCAGCGCTGGGTGAGAAAGTTTACCTGCAGATGCAGACCCATCTGCTTGCGTATCATTTGATTTTTAGCTGAACAGGACGAGCTACAGTTTGTTGTTACTGGTAGTGTCATTGTTAGGTAGGTGGATTTACTTGATGTAAAGATACTAAGGGTCAAGATTTCCTAAATTGTCCAAGAATGAGGTACTTCTGGTTGACCTAGAACTATTTAGTACCTACAGGTGGACGTGTAGTAGCTACTAAGTATAATTTTTTTGAAATAAGTTGAAATTATTTTGTAGGTACCGAATGGATAAAATAAGTTACTCTTATCCATAAGACGTAGAAAAAATCTGGCATCTTATTGGATGGGGCCTGATTCGTGGTGGAAATTTAATGACGGACCAGAACTGATTTTTGAATACAAAACAAATTACTAAAATTATGCACAAATTTGAGAATTTTTTAAACTTTCCCACCCAAGGCTTGACGCCCTCTATAAGCGATGTCAACTGCGCAGTGCATGAGTACTCGTAGCTACAATACGGATTATTCCTATTAATTGATTTATTAATTAAATAAGGTTATGCAGATAGAAATTTTGATTGTGCAATTAAGTTTGGATAATGTGCAGTTTATTAAAACTGTGTGCAGTTGCAAATATGCCTTTGTTGCCGAGATATCACTATCCAACTGCGTCCTGCAAATCGCAAATATTTTTTTATTTTTTTATGCAAAATTGAGGCATGTGCAGATCCAATTATTTGCATAAATGAAATGTGCAGATAAAAACACGTCACCTAGTATTTTTTTTATTGCATAAGTCGATAATTTGCGTGCTAGCTTCCAGGTGGTATCATATCAGTTGTGTTTATATTCGCCGCACTGTATCATAACCTAATGTATTTTCGAGTATAATGGATACATCGCGAAAGGAAAAGAATCGAGGACAATTACGTTTGAGTAACGGGCGTTTTATAAAAGCGAAAACTAAAATTAAAAGAGAAACAGCTGTTGCTGCGATGAACCGAGTAAAAAAACAAACTGTGAAACAAACTGGAAATCAAGATGAAATTAAAGGCAATGCAGTGTGCGTGGGCAAACGTATCGTCGACGTACAAGTTCTCGCACAAAACTTGAAATGCCCACTGTGTCATACAACTTTAAGTTTGGAAAACATTCTGGAGGAAACATGTCAAGGTCTACACTCGATTTTTACCATATTGTGCCTTAAGTGTCTCAACAAGCATGCTGTTCTGACCGGAAAAGTGAGCAAAATTGGTGGGCATGATTACTCACAAACAAATCTTGCAGCAGTGCTTGGTAAAAGACAAGATTGATTGTAAGAACAGATAATCACGATTTATTCTCGAATTAATCTTATAAATCTTTTTGTGCTGTAGGTGCTGTACATTCTGGTGTCGGCTGCAATCTGCTCAACAAAATTTTTGCTTGCTTAAATATTCCATCTGTAAGTAAAGATACGTACAAGCGATATGAATGTATTGTTGGAAAATGTATAGAAGAAGCTGCCAAGGAGAGCTGTAAACGGGCCGCTGAAGAAGAAAGAGAGTTAGTCATAAAAAAAGTTGAAAAGTTGTGCGAATCATTGTAAGAATTATTTTTATATTGTGATAAAAACGAACTAATTACTCTATTTTTTATCCACGTAATCATTTATTATATTATGTATTGCTGTCAGAATAGTTTTGTTTAATTTTGCTCAGCACCTACTTTTAATAACTCGATAAATTAACAAAAATTGATTTTTTTATATAGTTCTATTTTCTAAATTTATTTTATACGCATGCTAAGTCAGCCTTTATTATTACATGAATAATCAAATCATACATCAAGTAAATATCTGAATTTAATGGATTTATACAGTTATGTTTTACAAATAAAAAAAAACACAATTTTAGATAAGTTTCTTGTCTTTACAATCTATTTATATACTAGCAGCCCCTCGTCTCGGCTTCGCCCGAGACTTACTAAATAAAACACCGTAGTGTGTTGACATGTAATGTGAAACATTTTCAGTTAGAAATTTTACACATATTCCTGATACATCTCAGAACAAAAATCTTCTTATTAAAAACATATTTTTTCGGAATCCATATAGTTTATTTGGTCAAATAATAAGGTGTAAAAATTCAAAAAAATAATTATGCTGAAAAGTACCGTGCCTTCTTTATGCCATAAAATAATCGATGGCTATAAGAAGTTGTTGATTTACAGTTTCTTGTACGTAATTCATAAAAAGGGCTATTTTTTAAAGCTGTTAAGATTTTAAACCCCCAAAAAATTTATATTAAAAAAAAATTTTTTTTCTCATATCTCACAACTTTATTACCAGAGCAACAAAGTCCTGGACCTTAAACCCTACATTTTTATTGCCACAAAAACACAAATACATTTTCTACTCATTAAAAAATCTGAAGTAGGATCTTTAAAGATTTCAGAGATTGCTGTGAGGGTACAATGAAAAGCTGATCTCTCACGTAATGGACTCTTTAGTTGTCGATTTTGACGCTGCTGTTTCAATCTCGATAAATTTTCTGCGTCAGTTTCTTGACGCCTAAGTAAAATTGTATTTATTAGATACATTTGAAGTTTTTCTTCCAATTCACCCTCTTGCGACTTTTGGCATGCTTAAAATTTGTGTGACCCCTAAAGGCTGTTTTCTGTCAACTTTGTTAAGTTCTAATATATTTGTTGGCAAGGTAGTTCGACGTCCGATGGCCCTAAAAAAGACCGGTGAGCTTCTTAAGTTAACTCTTTCTTGACTGCAGTTAACAGCAATTGTGACTGCCTGGATACCTCAGGGTGATCTTCTCTGGCTTGCTGTTGAAGACCCAGACTGATTGGGAGAAAAATTACAAAGTCCGAAGCTTTGGGGCTAGTTGTAGTGCTCTTTCCCAACGTCTCCCGGTATAACGTCGAAGACGTTGGTGTCTAAAGCACCTTTTTTATTTGCAGATTCAGTTGTTTTGGTGATCTTAGATGGGGAGATTGGTTAGTGATACTTGTCCAGTGGAGGCTGTCCCGTTGGCTCAAGTTTTTTTTCCTTCATAGCTGTTATAGGTTTGCCCAACGCAGACCTTGGAGAGGATCAGTGATTCCTGGTTGAATGCTTAGAGTCGAGAGGGTAGTATAGGGTCGTCGGTCACCGGGTTTTCCAGCCTTGCGAAGAACAACTCCGCAGGTGACGTCTGCTAGTGAATGGCTGACTTGGTTTAATAGTGCCCGTCTTTAGTTAATATAGTCTTTTAGTCGACGAATCGCTTCCGGAAATGGTAATAAAAATGTATTTGTTGGCAAGGTAGTTTACACTTAGGTGGATCCTAAAAAGAACCGATGAAATTGATGGTTAAGTAGGGAACGTCAATACTTATAATGGCCCTAAAAAGCGCCAGTGGTGAAACTTCCAGGCTATTCTTATTCCTGATGATGAAGAGCTGGCTACGGTTGCTTGATTCTTACCCTCGAAGTCTCTATGTACGGAGACTGTGATGGAGGAAGGTACGCTGCTGACCAAAGAATATCTCGTCTCGGGTCGTTCCCCGGATAACCAATCGCTCATTGTTAGACGGGAACATGTGGGTAAGCGCATTGGGGACGCGACGACCAAGACGGTAGCCGTTGTGGCTGCCCGTGCCCCTCAGAGCTGTTTTCCCTTGCTTACATTTGTAGCCACAAATTCTCTAACTTAACCAGGTGGGATGGTGGGACTGCAACACAACTCTGAAGAGTTGGTGCAGATTGTGCTCTGGCTAGATTTGTCTCCTGATATTGTGGCAGAGACGGCATCGGTTGGAATTAATTTTTTTTTTAATTGATCGCACTTGTCAAGATTCAGGGTGAATGGACACCTAGGTTCCTTCCCCCTTACAGAAGAGTGTCGTCCGTAACCGGGATATCCAGCTGCAAGACTGTTATCAGCATTCTCTATACCGTTCGGTGAGTTGCCGAAACTCGACTACGACACTATGGAGACGCTCCAGCCTATTATAACCACACTTATTTAATTATGTTGCAGGTAGCTTCGATTTTATGTCGACGCCACCTAGCGGATTTTACTGAACTAAAGTGAAAAGCTGGCATATTTTTGCAAAACTTTGAGCTCGTTTATTGCTATTGTTATTAAATTTTTTAAGATAAAAACTATACTAAAACCATCTAGGAAGTATCATGAATCAGTGTGCAAAATTTCAACAAAATCGGTTCAGTAGTTTTCACGGTTAGCGATTACAACGGTTTTAGCGCTTTATATATTAGTAAGACAACGGTTTTAGCGCTTCTGCTTTATATATTAGTAAGATAAGATTTTTGTAGGCCCACAGACATAGTCCAAGCCATCTATTCACACAATCAAACCCTCCAATCTTACAGTAACAAAATTCACAATCCATCCGAATCCTTCGACAAAGCCTATGGTGATATTGTAAATATTATTGTGACTTATGATATGGGGTGGAGTAAACGAGGCAACGGTCGTAGTTACGACAGTCTAAATGGGTACGGAACAATAATTGGGTTCTTATCAGGCAAAATTTTGGACTACACAACGAGGAACAGAAAATGCAAAGCATGCGATATGGGACGTGCCAAAACCGATCACGATTGTCGCTGCAACTACGAAGGCAGTGCAAAAGGTATAGAGGCGGACGCTGGTGCTGCTCTTGTCAACAATTCACCGATTTTAAAAGAGAGTAATCTTCAAGTGAGAACAGACTATGTTTAATTGCTACGTTACTCCGACTCAAACAATCAACCGTAATGCAACTAAAGTGACAGGCTTGACATCGATGGACGGATAATTGTACATCAATAATAAAAAATTAGTTACCTTGAATATTTCTGAAGCGCTACATGCCTTTCATCAATATTTAGTTGCTGTAGGAAAATCATGTGTACTAGTTGCTCATAACGCTCAATTCGATCGCAGTAAATTAGTTAGAGCAATCTTGAATAACAATTTGATAAATGAGTTCTCTTTAATCAGTGGTTTCTCTGATACACTAACTTTTAAAAAAAAATGTTTACCTGAGCGTAAGGGACCGGGTGCGTTTCAGTTGCAAAGTTTATCCAGAGATTTTTTACCAGAAAATATCCCCTATCAAAAACTTCAATGCTGAATCAATGCTGAATCAACGTTGATGTTAGCGTTGAAACAACGCTGAACCAACGTTGATTCAACGTTGATTCCATGAATGACGGAACACTGAAATCAGTCGTAATTTACATTGTAGATTCAACACTGATTCAACGTTGAATCAGCGTTGATTCAGAGTTGATCCAAACGTTAAAATAAAATTTTAAAAAATTACAAAGTAGTATAATAACATTTGGAGCAGATATATTGACGATTATGGAGGTATTATCCGTATGGTAACACCAAAACAGGGGGGTTCAGTTATTTGATGTTAAACTGTATTGAATACGCGTTATATTTTTCTATTATTAAATTAACGTTTAAATCAACGCTGATTCAACGTTGAATCAGTGTTCATTCAACGTTGAATCATTGTTGAATCAACAATGTAAATAACGACTGATTTCAGTGTTCCATCATTCATGGAATCGACGTTAATTCAACGTTGGTTCAGCATTGATTTATCGCTAAAATCAACGTTGATTCAGCATTGATTCAGCATTGAAGTTTTTGATTGGGTCGAGAATAACTGGCACGATGCTGAATTCGACATAAGGACTCTTAAAGAATTAGTTATTAAGATTGCAAAACAAGAAATGTTACTTGTATCTATGAAAACTTTCAAACAAACTTTGAACGACATTTACGAATCGCAAGATATGGATGATACTTTACCAAAATTAAACGAATTAAAGAAAATTATTTCCTCTGGAATGTTAAAAAAGATTGCAAAACGAAAAATTACGTTTAACTATTTACAAAATATTAATTGTTCTGGAGGAGAATATGATATTAAGACCTTATTTTGTAAATTAGATGAAAATAATAAGCCATTTATTACTAAAGACAAGAAGATATTACAAAAAGTTATTGATTACTTGAAATCATGTACAAGTCCTTCAAATAGTCAATGATTAAGTCAATATTTATAACACAACAATATTTTATAAATGTTCGTTGTAAAATTCTGAATTTTACTACTTGCATACGCATAAATAATTTATTTCTTAAATTTTTGTCTATGTTTGTTAAATAATTATGATTTAAATAAAGTTTATTGATTCAAAATAAAATATTGTTAATTTTCATCTATACTATCAGCTGTAGCTTGCGTACAATGCACTGGAAGGAATATACATACAGATTCACGAATACATGTAGAGATCGACGAAAGCAGTGTTGCCGGATTTTCATAACGCTCCTCGTTCTACTGAAATTTCACTGAATTTATCAACTTTGCAAAGCTCGAACAACAAAACTATTATTTTAAATTGGAACCACAGTTGCTTTATAATATAAATTATATCATACTATTTTTTACGAAACATTGTAAAAAGCGTTTTATAGATATAAGCAATTTCGTTCACAAATCGACCCCCAATCCGGCGCTTTCCTATACCTCCTGTGTTAAAAGTTCAATATTAAAACTTTAATATCTCCAAAAATATACCGCTAAGCCTCTTCAAATTTTGGCTCATGATAAATAATAGCAATCTTAAGGCACACACAAAATTTTAGAAAAATCGTAAGAAAATTGTTTTTGATCGACTACTACCTTAATGTGTACATATATATAGCTCACTCTGAATCGGTTGTCGGAAACGTCGGAAATGTTTTATACCGTATGAATCCGAATGTACTTAACCAACTCTGGCCCGGATCGAAAAGCCGAACAACCCTTATATTGGAGTATTTGGGTTGCGGACGTGTAGAGCAGAGATTATCTCTGGTGTAGAGTACTCTGGAGTGTTGTAAAGTGAACAGCTTTTCCAAACAAGCGAACTTCTGATATAGTTTGAGAGTTGAGAGACGGTGAGTTGTTCGATTAGTTTTCCATGCTAATATTGCGTGGAGCTACAAAATACAGAATTGCGACACCCACAACAGAATGAGCCGAAGAAGAGCTCACGATGACGACGATGGATATGGTTAGTTGTATTTTTCTTTGTTTTTTCTTTATTTAATTAGTACCGTGAAAGGCTAAATCATTGCTACTTGCAAAAAAAGACAAATGACATTGATAGAAGTAGTTAACAGGTAGTAGGTACTTTCACACCTCATCTGAACATGGACGATGTTTGTTTGCAGATCGGGTGTACAGGAAGCGCAGGCGGGTCTCCGAGAATCAGGAGATCGAGGACCGGCTCGAGTCCCTCATCCTGCGTGTGGGAGAAAAATCGACCTCGTCCCTCGAAAGTAACCTCGAGGGTTTGGCCTCGGTTCTCGAGGCCGACTTGGGCCTCTTCAGGAGCAAAATCCTTCGGATACTGACCGACTGCGCCATCAAGATGCCAGAAAAGTGTACGATCTATACAACTCTCGTTGGTCTCCTCAACGCCAAGAACTTCAATTTTGGTGGGGAGTTTGTCGATTACATGGTCAAGAACTTCAAGGATGCCCTCAAGGCTGGAAAATGGGAGGTTGCTAGGTACTCGTTGAGATTTCTGTCTGATCTCGTCAACTGTCACGTACTCTCGTGCGGCTCGCTCATGCAGTTGTTTGACACCATGCTGGAAGCAGCCAACGAGGACAGCGTGCCACAGGTCAGACGGGACTGGTTTGTTTTTGCCGTGTTGTCGACGATGCCGTGGGTCGGAAGAGAGCTTTATGAAAAAAAGGAGCAGGAACTCGATCATCTCATGGTTACCATAGAGGTCTTTTTGAACAAGAGGCACAAGAAACATCAGTCCGCGCTCAGGGTTTGGTCTAGCGACACGCCGCATCCGCAGGAAGAGTATTTGGACTGTCTCTGGGCCCAAGTGCGCAAACTAAGGCAGGATAATTGGGCTGAAAAACATATTCCCAGGCCTTACTTGGCCTTTGATTCCATTCTGTGTGAAGCATTGCAGCACAACTTGCCCGTGCTTATACCGGCGCCTCACTCTGAGGCTACTGTGTATCCACTGCCTACCGTTGTTTTTCGCATGTTTGATTATACAGATTGTCCTGCTGAGGGACCACTTTTGCCAGGTAGTCACGCAATCGAGAGATACCTCATTGAAGAACATTTACGCCAAATTATCGATAACTATTGTTTTGAAAGAAAAGACTGGTGATTATTTATCAAAGTTATTTATAAAAATTTCAACATCTACTGAGAGGCATTCAGTGTTGATAATTTTTCTAAATTTTTCTTTTTTTTTAGTGCCACTCAACTTTTAAATTTTCCTTACAAGAGCAAAATTCCGCTAGATTATTGTATTGTAGAAGTGATGTTTGGTGAGCTGTTTAGACTGCCCACGCCAAAACACTTGGAAATATGTTATGGATCAATTTTGATTGAACTTTGCAAGCTACAACCATCATCAATGCCTCAAGTAATTGTCGAGTGTAATGAAATTTTGGTGCTAAAATTATTGGATTTTAATTATACCCTTGAATTTTTTTTTTTTCAGGTTCTTGCTCAAGCCACAGAGATATTATTCCGACGGATAGATAGTATGTCAACTGCTGCCTTTGATCGTTTTGTATGGTGGTTCGCATATCACTTGAGTAACTTTCAATTTAGATGGTCTTGGGAAGATTGGGACTCTTGTTTACTCCGTGATGCTGAACATCCACGGCCGAAGTTCATTCGTGAAGTACTTTTGAAATCATTAAGGTAAATACAAGTGATAAAGACAGCAAAATAAACAACTTCAACTTGTATTTTAACACACTTTTGATTTGCAGACTATCGTACCACCAAAGAATAGTAGATATGATGCCTGAATCATATGCAGAATTATTACCTGCATCAACAGAACCTATTTATAAATACGCTGCAGAGGGTGCCAGTACGTTGCACGCATATTACCTTATTATTTCTGAGTATTGTCGGTATTGTTTGAGTTAACTTTTGATTTTTATTCTAGGTTCTCTTCCTGGAACATCTGTAGCCCATGAGCTGGTTGTATCAATCAGGCGCAAATGTACTCCAGAAGAAGCTCTGAATGTCTTGAATGCCTTACCTGGGCCGGGTGAAAATGAAGAAAACTGTTCCTTCAATCCATTGAAAATTGACGTGTTTGTGCAAACTTTATTAAATCTGGGCTCAAAAAGTTTCAGCCACAGCTTTGCAGCAATCGGAAAGTTTCATTATGTTTTTAAAGTAGGTGTTTATTTTTTCATCATCTGTTTCTATTTGCTTCTTTAACGTACATATTATTATGCTTGCATTTACTCTTCTTGGCAGGTTCTTGCTGAAACTGAAGAAGCTCAAATCTGCATCTTGCGAAATATGTATGCTCTTTGGAAAAACCATTATCAAATGATGGTTGTATTAACTGATAAACTTTTAAAAACGGGAATCATTGAATGCAGTGCTATTGCTAACTGGATTTTCTCCAAAGAAATGACTTCTGAATTCACAAAGTTTGTAAATAATTTCATATAAAAAAAAAAAAACAAAAAAAAAACTAAAAGAGATGAAAATTTTTCATTTTTTTTATACGAATTGTAGACTTTATATTTGGGAAATTCTGCATCTCACAATCCGAAAAAAAAATAAACACGTCATCAAATTGACTAAAGAATTAACAGAGGCAAAAGAAAAATTAAGACGGCTAGAAAATAAATCTGGTTCATCTTCAGATGACGAAGAAAAAAGTGATCGGCCATCAGAAGAAATGGTAGAGAGAATGGAAGAAAAACTAGAAGCAGCTCAAGCAGACCAAAAAAATCTATTTTTAATCATTTTCCAAGTAATATGAATAATAAATTTATATTAACAAAAATAACTAGAAGTATACCATAATAATTTATTATTTTTTCTGTTTAGCGTTTTATAATGATTCTTTCTGAACATTTGGTGAAATGTGATGATGGAATTGACTACAACACACATTGGTATAAATGGACGATCGGAAGGCTTCAACAAGTTTTTCTCACAGTAAGCGTATATAAACATCTGGATTTCTTTTTTTTTTTTTTTTTTTTTTTTTTTTTTTTTTTTTTTTTTTTTTTTAAAACGTTCTTACATAAATTTTTCATTTTTTTTCAGCATCATGAACAAGTTCAAAAGTACTCCTCAACATTAGAAACACTACTCTTTACACCTGACTTGGATCAACATATTTTAGATGTATTTCATCAATTCGTTTCTCTTCGCACATAATTATGTGCTCTTAATTCCGTTGTAATCTTCATTTAATTTTTTTTTCTCATTTTAATTATGATTTATTTACTTTAAGATTAGACGACTTTTGAAAAAAAACTTTAATAACGATATTACACTGCAAAATGAGTAAAATTTATTCATTTGCTGTTTACGGAAATTTTAATAAAATTATACGTTGCAGATTTTGATGTATAAAGGCAAAGTTCAAAATCTGACAGATTCAAATTTACAACTGCGTCAGTGTAAATTTTTGATTCCCGAATATTATCTATTCTTGACTAAAACGTAGAGGAATAAAAAGAAAAAAGATTTCCTATGTAGGTTTAAATTTGTGCGATATATATTTAAGTTTTCATGTGCATATGTATATTATATGTATATACCTTTTGCATCATCATAATTTCTGTCAGTGACGTACAATAAATACTCTGATTTAAATATAAAGACAACTGCCTCAAAATCCACCTTCAGGTTCCTCCAGAGCTATTTCGGGTGGGGTCGTAAACAACGTCCTCCTAACAAAGGGTCGTTTTTCATTTCGGAACTCTACGTTGACCTTCATTTTTTTCTTATCAAACTGTTCTTTGTAATACGTCTTCACAGTTCCGTCGTACAGAAGATTTTTCGCGAGCTGCTATCCAATAATATAGGATCAGCAGATATTACTTAATATATTTATTTCTGTACATCAATCATTACCTGAATATTTTTATCTGAATTTTCAATTTGCGGGATAAAGTCATTGTCGCAAAAGTTATCAATGTACTCTGTAAAACAAGCCGACTCTGGCGGAAGTGGATCACCGATAATTTTTTCTAGAGCATCTTTAGAAGCACGCATCCTAAAATACTTCATTAACATATCTCTCCTCTTTCCTGTTTTAATTCACATTATATTAGGTATTGTAGAATATACTACATATGTAATAAGATTTTCTCAGTTACCAATTTTTGGATTTTCAACTTTAGGCAGCACAAAAATCTCTTGTGTCTCGGTTTTCCATATAGGCAAGTTGGGTATGTTATCTGTTAACTCAATGGTTGTTTTATGTTTCGAAATTGGATATGTTAATTCGCAATCATTTAATGTTTTCACAGACATTTCTTACGTTTATTAGGTTAAAGTTTTAACAGCGTCTATACTTGAATAAAGAACAACAGCTTGGTTTCCATAGAAACAGTTTGATAGCCTGTAGCACAATGGTAAAATAAAAATTTAATTTTTTTCATGCAATTCACAATGAAAGATCACAAAAATTAGAATCTTAGTATAGAATTTTAATAAAAAGCTTGATGATCAATTGCATTGTTTTCTTCAAACATTTACATCTCTTGAATGCTTGCGTACGATTACAACGACATATTACATAAATATAAACTAATTTGTTGCGTTGAAGAAATATAATAATAAAAGGATAATCGTATATAAATGTTTTTTATCGTTGTATTTTACTACGTAACGTTACTTTCTTCAGTAGGAGTATCTATGCACAATGTAGCCTCATTGGAATCGTCATTGGATATTTCTTGTTTAATTTTTGGCTCTTTGATCATCTTGCTTTCTTCATTGTTAAAATTACTAAATGATGAGTCGAACGATGAGCCATTTCCAATTTCTTCTTTTTTCACCACGACCACTTCTTTTTTCTTCTTTTCACGTTTGGGTGTGTATTTAGGTGTTATATGTTCCCGTTCGTACATAAACGTTGCTCTGCGCTTTCGTTTTACCGGTGTACAAACTTTTTTGTACAATATTTTCATTTCTTTTATTCTACTCGTTGGTATCGTCCAATCCATCTCGCGTGAGTTAACATCGGAACTTCTAGTTGGATCCAAAGAGGTTTGATACACTGGAATTTCTATACCCAAATTTTTCATCACGCTTGCAATAACATTGTCAAGCTTGCCGTTTATAATCAAGTCTGCTTTTTTATCCTGAAATGTGAGTTTTCGTTTAATATTTTAAACTTAGCTGGATGTAGTATGATTTGTATTTAAAGAATTATACAGACGTGCTTAGTAGGTTGCAAATTGCATATAACTAATCTTCCACCATATTTTTTTGTATAAAGAGGTAGGTTTCCACTGGGAATAATTTGTAAAGTCGTTCCCAAACATACACTCAAATCTGCAACACTGTAATCAGACAGGATTAAAATTTGTTGTATTGTACAGTTACGATTCATAGTTTAAGGTATCTATTACAGGTTGCAACAAACCTTGAATGAAGATCAGCTAATGCAAGATCATTATCAGGTAAATTGTGCTCCCAGTCCAAAATTGTGTCGTGCATTTTTCCTCTGCATGGTCTACCACCAATCTGCTCTGATCTACATACTGTTTCCAAACACTTTTTTCCAACACTTTTGGTAGCAAAGTTACGAATAAATTGCCTAGAAAAATATTCACGCATATATGTATAAAATTTAATTGGTAGATTGAAGTAAGTGGTATGAATTAAATATGATGTTGGTGTTCTTACTTTCCACACTTGTCACACTGTTCTGTGAACATGTTTCCATGCATTTCTGCCAAATTTTGTCTTGGAATACCAGAACGAAGATGCAACCCATCGATATTTTGACTGATGATAAATTTTACTTTCTCTGAAAAAAGCGCAAGTAAAAAAATTATTTTTACTCAATTAATTGTAACTGACTAGTTATAAAATAAGGAGTGACGTAACTTACTCGTATCGACAAGCTTTTTGAGAGCCATGTGTGCTTTTGTCGGTATTGCTTCATCAAAGTCAGTGCTTGAGTTGGGTTTCAAGCCCTTCTGTTCCAGGGTCCATACTCCATTTGGGCCCCTATACACATAAAATTAGTTAGAAGAGAAATAAGCGATTTTTGAAAAAAAAAAACAAAAGAAGAACTATGTAGGTAATTGTGAAAAATACCGAAAATCAGGAATTCCAGCTGAAGTGCTGATTCCCGCACCTGTGTGGACAACAACATGCCTTGCTCCTTTTATCCAGTCCGCGAGTAATTCGCATTTTAGCCTCAACGTCTCATCGGTATCAAACTTCTGCAAATTCATTTTTTTTTTTTTNTTTTAAGATCCAACCCACAGTACCCTCAACTCAATGTAATTTAATAATGTTATATTATGTAGCTATAAAAGCCTTTAAGGACTTAATAAAGCTTTCAAATAAATACACTGCTAAAGTAGGTATTAATAAAAAAAAAAAAAAAAAAAAAAATAAATAAATAAATAAATAAATAAATAAAACCACATGAAAAAGAAGGGTAAAACTACTCATCAAGTGAGAAAAACAAAGAAATTGAAAATGAAAACAGAACCATAGAGACTTGATACAAACGGCTGCACAAGTTTTTTTAATCAGCATATTTATAAGGGTATATTATAAACTTGTTATAGGTATAAAAACGGAGCAAGCGGGAACAACAAACTGCTAATCTTTGAAATATCTCGTCTTCACCAGTATCATCACCCGCACAGCATAAGAATATATTAATACATACATAGGGCGGTTGCAATTATAAATTATATAGACAGCCAATTCAGTATCTATTTTCAAGCTAGCTGATCTCATGTTAGATTTACTTTTGTTTAGAATAAGGAGATTCAACGCGGTGGCGCCGGCTTTTTTTTATTACTTAATATTTTTATTTTTATTAGCTACAAAAGCCTTTAAGGTCTTAATAATTAATAAAGCTTCTTTTTAAATTCAAACTATTTTATATTTTTGCAGCATCGACGTCAAGTGCCGCGAGCGCAAAACAATGTGAAATATACATATAATAAGTATATAATTATGTACAATGAAGTAAAAAGACAGAGACGAATGTGAAAGCGCACGAAAGCAATAATATTTGTGTCCCATCCATGGTGTATACACATGTATATGTTGTGTATGATGCACGCCACAAGTGCCTATCATTGCTAAATGTCACCTGTTCTTACAGTCGGTAACTAAGTAGGTAGATATACTTGGAGGCGAATTGTGATAAAGTTGATAACGTAAGTAATTTTTCACTGTGCTTACCTCCTCGAGTCCCAGGACGCCTTTGTCTTCGTACGGAGAGAGCCCATCGGCGTATGTGCACGACATTTTGTCGCCAACAGTGGAAAGTGGAAGAGCCGCGCGAAGACTGCGCCGCTGTTACTCCCTTCTTACTGCGCTCCTCCTCGCCTCCTCGTCGCTCGCACTTTGCAAATCCTATCCAAAGTCCACACCAGTATGTGTGTATATGTATATATATAGGTTGTACACACTAACAAACCAGTCGCGCTTTACTTCGCTGTCGGCTCGTCGGCTGTGCTGCTGCAAAGAAATATGAGAAAAGCTCGTCGTTGGCTCAGTTGGTTAGCGTGCGAGCCATTGATACAACACAGCTAAAGGGGTCGTGGGTCGTGGGTTCGATTCCCAGTTGGGGCACTCAGTCTTATCCGGAATCTGATTCACGACACCAACTTAGTTTTAAGATCCAACCCACAGTACCCTCAACTCAATGTAATTTAATAATGTTATATTATGTAGCTATAAAAGCCTTTAAGGACTTAATAAAGCTTTCAAATAAATACACTGCTAAAGTAGGTATTAATAAAAAAAAAAAAAAAATGACAATAAGTAGGTACATATATATANATATATATATATATGACACGGGAGACCGCCGTTCGATTCCCGATCATGCGACTTTAGGCCGCGGCCACATAGACGCATCCGCACGCGTTTGACGTCCGTGAAAACCAGTGGCTTGTTCTTTGCTGCCAACTTCAAATGAACTAACTCCCGAACACATCCCGTATGTTCACACTTTTTTGTAGTTTTTTTAAGGTTCGCACTTTGGCAGTGAAGAACTAGGCACAGATTTTCACGGACGTCAAACGCGTACGGACGCGAGCGGACGCATCTATGTGGCCGTGGCCTTATCGAACAAGTATTTATCCCTCTGTGTGAATTTTACACCCACCCCCCCTCCCAGCAATGTGTGGGCCTTCCCTTTCCCAAGTGTCGAGTGCCCTGTAAGTAGGAAGTAGAGTCGACCTTTGTGTACCCGGACGTATGACACTATATTTATGTATGAAAAAAAGATGAATAGGCAAAAAATACATAAGTATTAAATATGCAAAAAATTATTTTCAGAGACAGACTGAATGCATAAACTTTTCATAGAGTCTTTTTTTACCAAATCCTCGGAACAAGAGATAGAGGGATATTACACAGGTAATAAAGTGGTGAAGATTATTCATAGACAGACATGATGACATGACAGACAGATAGACATGATGTGTGTTTCGTATTTCAACAAATGCATATTATACATTAAGTTACATTTTGGCACAAAAAATATCTAAAGGCAAGTTTTGCTCTTACTTTTTTACAAGGTTTAAATAAACTTGTTAGGAATTAATTTTTTGTGCACCACATGTAATTAATTTATAGGCGTAGAATGATATTGAACATACATTCACACGAGATTTTTTATAATAGCTAAATAGCTACTCTGCTGAAAAATTTGTGGTTTCGCACGTCATGATTTTTTTTAATTTTTTTTTTTTAGAGTTTTTACATTTTTTGCTTACTGCATATTAATATGATCAGAAAAAAAAGTTTAACGATGCGAAAAAACAATCGGACGAACCAAAAAATTGGTTGTCGAATTTACACCCTACCGTCCCTGGAATGTGCTCACCACTGTGCTCTTGTGCTAAAAACTGCGTCGAGGGACTCGAGGGTCGAGTTGACGCGCTTCTCCTCTATATTTCTGTTCTTCTATCTCCAGCAGAACCTAAAAGAGATGGGAGTATACGTAAAAGAAAGAAATTGCATCCTTTGTAATATCTCACTCTTCCGCCTACTCGATCAGCTATTCGAGCTCTTTCTTTCTTTCTTTTCGCTAAGCTTCGTAGCCCCCCTTCGCACAACAAATTTTCGATGTGTGTTGAGCGTATGTGATACACACCTTACATATATATACATACGGCACACAGTGGGCAAAAACAGGTTTTTTTGTTTCAAAATCATAAGTCTCCAGAACGGTTAAAGATAAAGTCATAATTTTTTTCCGAAATTATAGCTTATTAAATTGTCTATATAGGAAAAATATCACAAACCGCGCCAAATGGTTCCTTAACCTCGAAAAAAATACCCATTTTTTCTTTGGAAGTCGTAAATCTCTCAAACGAACATAGGTAGAATCATGAAACTTTTCGGAACATTTAGCTGTTGATACGGGGATAACACAAAAATTTTGTTAAGCAAAGTGTAGTTATCCCATAACCCTAGGAAATTATTCATTAAGTAATTAAAGATGTAAAAAACAGCAAATTTTTTTATTACAGACAATAGAACTACATGCGGTTAAAAGTAGTGTGCCTTATCAATCGTTCAACCAATTACGGAGTTTTATATTCAAATGACAATTTGTTGTAGAAATATATAATATTCAAACGTATTATGACATTTCTGCACAACGAAAACATTTGTTTTTTCATTAAAAAGTGAAAATTTACACTAGTAAACGAAATGCTTGGTCAGTTATTTAAAAAATTTTATTACCTAATGAGTTATACAATCTTATCTCCATTTGCTCTGGAGATTTGAGATTCCAAATGGGAAAAGTGTATTATTTTTAATATTTTACTGTAATAGTGGGTGAGAACGCACCTGTACAAGTTGTTGTAAAAGTTGAAAGCTGAGAGAAGTTTTATGACTTTTTTTCCAGTTAGGATTGACAGTTATTTATAAAGAACTACGTTTTTATTGTGATATAAACATTTTTGTAGGTTAGGATAAATATTTCAAGTATTGGACTAAATGTTTGTGTGCTCCCAGTTTCTCTCTTTCAATTGTTGACAAGTTTATGAGCCACTATCATAAAAATTAGTTTTTTTAGAAAACTCACAGTTCTACTTGAAATAATTTTTTTCCATAAACTTTTTACTTTCATAGGTTAGGATAGGACTTTAGACATAAAGAAAAAAAAATTTCTGTTTTTTTGACCTGAAACTTAAATACTCAAAAAAGTTTCATGATCCTATCTTTATTAGTTCATAAGGTTTTTGATTGTAAATAGTGAAACACGTCTTTCCGCATGATTCAACTGTTTTTTGTAGGTTAGATACTATTTTATACCATAAGAAAAAAAATTTTCAATAGTTTTTTGTTATTTAGTAGAATTTTTCAGGGAGTAATTTTTTTCTATTATTATTTGGTCATGTGATCTACGATTTTCAAGAGAATAACGTGTCTTTTCCACTATTTAATCATTTTTTTAGGTTAGGAAAGATTTTGATACAGTAAAAAAACTTACATGTATTTCTGGTTTTTGAACTATATTGTTTAAAAATTGTATTTTTGTTTGTTTTCATTTTTTAGGATTCTTAATGACAAAACCTCTATTTTTTTTTGCAGGTTAGGGGATAACTGCACTTTGCTTAACAAAATTTTTGTGTTATCCCCGTGTCAACAGCTAAATTTTCTGGAAAGTTTCATGATTCTACCTATGTTCGTTTGAGAGATTTACGACTTCCAATGAAAAAATGGGTATTTTTTCCGTCATTCCCCATTTTTTTCGAGGTTAGGGGACCATTTGGCGCGGTTTGTGATATTTTTCCTGTATAGACAATTCAATAAGCTATAATTTCCGAAAAAAATTATGGCTTTATCTTTAACCGTTCTGGAGATTTATGATTTTGAAACAAAAAAAACCTGTTTTTGCCCACTGTGCGGCACCTTTGCAATTCTGTATACTCCCCACTATCTACGATCGGGAGAAATCGGTCTTCGCTACGCGCAAAAACAGTATCCGCAATGAGTTAGTAACTTTTGAGGCTTTGCTCTTGACATGTGCCCGTGGCTGATCTTAATCCATGGAATTTTTTTTTCTCATTAAAAAAGTAATTAGGGTTGATCTATGATACCCCTTAATTTTGGAATGAAATTTCTTAAAGATTAGATGGCTTTTTGCCAGATAGGTCGAAATGTACTTATCGAAAAAAAAAAAAAATTCATGGATCCAGATCGTTTTTTGGTGCCCTGACTAATGGTTTAAATTAAAAAGCTTAAAACTCTGGAAAAGTGGTGGTTGTTCCCAACAAAGCGTAGTTGGACTTAAAATACTAATCATGAATCAAAAGTTCAATTAAAAAAAAAAAATGGTGGACCATTGTGGTGGCCATTTTTGAAATTAAAAAATTTTGGATCCGCCATTTGGTGTGTTGACATTGTAACTCTTAATTTTTAGTTAACGACCTCAAAAACATAGGTATATATACGAAACTAGATTAATTTTTAGTTTTGCACAGAGATATAATGGTAATTTTATGAATTTTTGCCTTCAACCCTTATTTAAATTTAAATGAAATTTAAACCATATTTTTGTCATTAAATAATGGTTCCAAAATATCAAATAATAAAATAATGTCACACATCACGAATAAATTTTTCAGCCATTTTGAAATACTTTTTGTTGTATCTTATGTTAGTATGACACTGAAGACATAAATGATAAACATAAATAAGTCCATTCTAATAAGATCTATAAGTTTTTATATTAAAAATTTGGTCAGTAAATGACACGTAAAAAATTTATGTGCTATGGTACGATTTTTTACATATTTTAAAACGATTTATTTATTAGGACGACAATATAAACAAAAATGATCAATAAAAAAAAAAGTATATTTTGATAAGATACTACAACTTTTACATTTAAAATTTTACCTACAAATGTAATGTAGAAATTTTAGATGCTGTAAAACGAGTTTTTGCCGCCTCAAAACGATTTTTACCATTACAGCATTAAGACGACACTACAGAGAAAAACTTACTACACAAAAATGTTTCATTTTAATAAGTTTTACAACTTTTATATGAAACCCTTGTTTGTAAAATTCAGAATTCTTTTATTTGTGGACATAAAACGGTTTTTTTACTGTTAGACATATATTTTGCATTACAAAGCATTTGCATCGCAAAGCATAATAAAATGTGTAATAAACGTTGTATTTTATTGTGATTTAAAATAACTTTGTCTTTAAACACCAACGTGTAAAATGTAAGAGTTAAAAGTTAGAGCCAAAAAATCTGTTTGTTTTATTGTTTTATTCTTAGTGTGATATAGTAAAAATG